CCACATGCCAGCTGAGGAATTCTGAGAGTTGAAATCCACATGCCAGCTGAGGAATTCTGAGAGTTGAAATTCATTTGCTGGCTGAGGAATTCTGTGTTCACCCTGGGTGGGATACAAAATAAACACAGTCACAAAAAACAGGTGAAGCCCCTTTTATTCCTTCACTTTGCTTCCAAGCTCCAAATATCTTTGACTGGAGACAGAAAACTCCCACACAAACAGTTACAAGAAGGAGGAAATTCCATTTAAATTATAAAGAGTAAAAAAAACAACACAAACTAGGCAAGATAAGGGCTTGAAGACGTCCACAGATATCAAAACACACACTGGGAAGAACGCCAAACTTAGAGAGTAACTATAAACTAGAGATATTTACATGCTTTGTTTCCAGCACTCGCCCGTACACATGTCCGTCCTCTTATCCAGTTGTCACAGCTGCAGCCCATGAAGAGGATCAAGGCCCTCTCCTCCCCAGTAGACCACGTCTCTTCCTTATCCTCTCCTCCCTGCATGGCCTAGGATGGAGAGGGGATGGGCCTGGGTCCTCCTCTGACTGCCCAGCTGGCCTCTGCCCTTCCCAGCCTCCTCCACAACCACCGGAGCCACACTTCCACTCCCTGTCAGCTGTTCCCCATCTCCCTCAGAGTCAATCTCCACCAGGGGCATGACAAATTCTGAGAGTTGAAATCCACATGCCAGCTGAGGAATTCTGGGAGTTGAATTCTGAGAGTTGAAGTCCACAACTCTTAAAGTTGCCAAGTTTGGAAAATCCTGCACTAGACCAAACTGACTCTAAATTGCTGCATTTCAGCTTTACTGCCGAATCTGAGAAAGAAAAGCAGGATTGGATTGAAGCGCTCCAGCAGTCCATCGCCGAAACTCTGTCTGACTACGAAGTAGCTGAGAAGATCTGGTTCAATGAATCGAACCGGATTTGTGCTGATTGTAAAACTCCTGATCCCGACTGGGCGTCCATCAATCTCTGCGTCATCATTTGCAAGAAGTGTGCAGGTAATTAAGAAACTCTTGGGATTCCCCCGGAGCCAGTATGGCAACTTTATAAATTAGTGGCATGCCTAAAAGCCCATTTATATTCTTTTACTATGGGGTTCACAATCACGTTCATGATTTCAAGTTGCACGTACCATTTATGTCACCAAAACTATGGTAGTAACACTGCAGTTGTGCAGATTGAAGAGGATATTTGCTCTCTGAGCTTGGTGGTTTTCTTGTAGACGTTTCATGACCCAACTAAGTAACATCATCAATGCTGGAAATATATTGGTAGCCACTTGTAGAGAAACAGAAAGCATACCCCACTTCCTTCTGGCACTGATGATGTAACCTATTTGGGTCATGAAACGTCTGTAAGAAAAGAACCAAGCATAGAGACACCTCCCCCATGCTATCAAGATCTGATCACCTCAATATTGAAAGATGATACCAACTCTTTTGTAGGCTCATCTTAAAGTATTATTCTTAAACTTGAAAGCAAGGATTGCATTTTTTTTCCTATTTAGAACTGCATTTTCTTAAGATATAGGTTGGGAGCTGCATGACAATAATTGATGAACCCAAATCAAACAATACTTTTCCCTCCCTTCTTTCCTTCTCCCTCAGTTCCTTCCTTCCTTCCTTCCTTCCTTCCTTCCTTCCTTCCTTCCTTCCTTCCTTCCTTCCTTCCTTCCTTCCTTCCTTCCTA